ACGTTATAGTAATGTTTGAAGAAATTCCTCAAACCGCGTCAGTTGACGATTCTTACCATTATCTGTCGTCGATTTAAATCTGGGCCAAAAGGTAATGACCGAGTCCGACAACTAGCAATGATTTTCATCCAGACTAATCAATGTTAAATCATGAACCTTACGACCTGACTGAAATAACAGCAATGCTGCAGTATGACGAGAAACCTAAAAAATACTGTCCGGGTTTGGATGGTGCGACTTCAGCCAATAATTCTAATTTTTTACATTCCAAATAACCGACTTCGGTGTAAGAGAAGTAGAAGTCTTACGGCTTATTGCTTTCAACATCAACTTTAACAAAAGAGAGCGTGTCTCTCCTTTGACGATGATGATGAAACGATACAGCCGACTTATGTACCAGAAATGGTGGGAACACCAGATCTTCTCCCCTGTACAAAAACGATAAATTGGAACAGATATCAGCAGCTTATCTGAATGCACACCAGATTGATTACATGAAGATAACCACTGTTTCCAAACTGAGTTTGGATACCTGTTACTAAGGAAGATCACGAAGCCTCCAAACGAAGATCTTCCGCCTTGGGTGGCAGCAGGCCCGAGGACAAGTCTGACACTGACGAGAGTATTTTTTCTGTCTTAAAAAAGTCGTCCCAACAGAACCTATCAAATACTTCCCGGACTCTCAACTCCAGCTTCCTTTGTTTACCAATTGATGTAAGTATGTTGACAGAAGCCGAATTTTCTCGATGGCAAAATTCATCTCGTTCTTTTTGGTGTCCCAGACGATACCTAGAAATTGTACTGACGTGCTAGCCTACAAAAACGACTTCTCCAAGTTCATCTTCCAGTCAACATCCTGAAATAAGGCTGTTGCATACTTCAACTGCTTCTCCAGGTGGCCGTATCTTAATGAGCAAACAAAAAATGATCTATATAAACCAATACCCGAATCCCTTTTGCTCGCAAGAATTCTGCTAACCAATTGAGAGAAAATTACTTAAGCACTCAATAGTCCGGACGCCTGACACACCTTCCCTCAGTATGCTAACCAGAGTCACCTCCAATGTCCCTCCTTTATCGAAACGTGGAAATCAGAGTATCAAAGAAAAGTTTTATCACCACTGAAGGAGCACCTAGATCTTGCTAACGAACGAAAAACTTCCTGAAATGGCTTGCCACAAAGTGAACTGTCAGATCTTTTCGAATTACTGCTCCGACTTTGTGGGCGATTGCTGGAGGAAGAAGTAAAAAAAAAAAAAAACAAATTCCCCAAGACGAGCCTTTAGATTTAGCATATTTCAGTTTGGAATGCAGTCTATTCTAACCCGACCGATTGTGCAGCTGAACAGCAGAAGAATTGGCCCCGGTTCTACCCGTTCATGAAGGTAACAATCGGAAAAACCCCCCTGTTCCTTAAGAAAATCAGACAATTTGCTCTCCTCAAAAAGGTGTGTGGTTGATGGGGAATTTGCCCCAATTTTGCTGACAGAAATTGATTGCCTCAACTCTATGAGATTACACAAATTGCAAAGGATCATCCGAGTAAGACATAACACTGATTTAGTATCACTTAAAATTAGTTTAAGTTCATCTGTCACTATTGGGAGCCCAGCTGTCAGGCTCTTCAAAGCTTCGCCAGAGCTTTTCTCTAATTTAGGTTATGGCAAAGTGCCATGTAGCTTTACCAATAATTTAAAAACAAAAGACTTGACCGCTAAGCTCTCCAGGTGGCTGTTGACCTTGAGATCCTAAAAACAGGCGCCATCTGTAGACCTGTTTCTACACATCTTTGAACCTAATCTTATCCCCCAATTCTAAACCGAACCGACAATTAATACCCTCTGCTGTAATGGCCGAGGTTAGTCTTTTTAACTTTTGATAAGGCCAGGTTTGCAAGTTGTCACTGTAAAACATCAACTGACTCATCCCTCCAGTGATGTAGCTATTCCTGGCGGAGGTTTATCGCATCCAAGGCGCTTACCCGGTCAATTTTGGCTTTCGTGTTCGGCTTCTCTTTTAATACCCCAACTGCCTTATTGAATAACTCCGTCTGCGCTGTAGAGCCTTTGATTTTGTTGGCTATAGTTGTAGGACTAATAATCAAAGCTCCACAGAAGGCTGAATCCAACATTGCCAACTTCAATATCCCGATATGTCTTTTTTGGCAAGTCGTTTGCCTCCTGAAGAAAAGCTTTTACTACTCCAATAGTAGGGAGGGCAAACCTTATCTTAGTAAAATCCTACCTAGAAATTAACTAGATTTCACCAATATTCCCAGTCTTGAGAAAAAAGGAGGTAAGGCTTACCATGCTTTCGGGATAGCTTAAATTTATACGAGAGCGTGCTAACCTTGTGAAGGGGCCGAATATACTATCCTCCGCCATTGGAGCAGGGGCACATAAATTTCATCGGACCCCGGTGAATTAAAAGGGCTGAAGAGTCTTATTGCCTATCTGATCTTTTCGGGGTTGACTGTACTATAGCCAGCTGACAGATTTCTCCCAATTGCGCGAAAGTTTTCCTACAGTAGCCACCCTCAGTAAGAGGGAAATCATACAACTGCCCAGGTCTGAGGAAATCGCTTTTTATTATTATTTTTTTTTTATTTATTAAAATTACGAACATTGAGAATTGGCATTATTCGCATCTTACCTCCTATCTCTCGTGTCCTCGCCCACACCTAAAAATACCTCAAACACCCTCAAGTACCCCTCCTTCTCTCCGACTTACGGTCAACTTATATTAAAATTATCGTTTATACCCCATTTTTATGCATCCAAAGGACGTTCTCAAACTGTAGGTCAAATTATGCAGATAAGGCAAAATATTTACCAACCAGAAAAATTTAACATTTTTTTGGCGGCATTTTTTCTTTGTAATAAGAAGTAAAGCTTCGGTAAAATTCATCGGTAATTAAAATCGATGATTCGCAGGGTGAGGAAGTGGAAAGGGTATGGATGATAATGTTCAATACCTACTAAATAAATGTTCTTACGTTAGGAGAGATGGAAGTGTAAGGGGTAGAAGTTAAACATAGAAAAAATATGATTGAACAGTTTTTACATCATCAAATAGAGAGCAACATGACCCGCGAAACTTTAAGTAGGTATTTTAAAACAGCCTGATACTAAGACCATTAGCGGAAGCCACGAAAATTTACAGACTGCATAAAATACTTTTGGCCATGGATTTTCTCTTCTTATATCATTAATAATCACGTTTTGTTGCTGTTTTAATACGTAATTATGGTTTATTGAAACGCGTTTTGTGTGTATGCTGTGTATACACTGTACAGCTCCATTGTGTTATCGCCCCCTGCCACCCATTGTTATTCAGTAAAAAATGGATAAACTCATTTTTTGTAGGTACATGCGTGTGTACCTTCTGTTGATTTACGATAATTAGTTAGCAAGTGTACAGATACTCTTGTTACGTTATACATATCTACATAACAAGATTATTTTGTGTGTGGATCTACTACATACATTGTACCAACATAGATTCAATAATAAAGTGTTATGCTTTAGTTTATGGCATACGCTGTAAACATCACGCCACTTTTGTTTTGTTGGATTTATGTAATTAATGACTTCATTTTTGGCTACCAGCTCAGTACACAATTAGCACTTTTCGAATCTTTTTAGAATGGACATTTAGTTAACGTTTACATAGGGCATTTCAAAAGAAACAGACTCTCTTCCATTTCTAAAAATAATGCAGTTTGTTTATATTTACTTACTTAAAATTTTAATTGGGTTCTTTCATCCAATTTGTAACAGTAGTAGAAGTTAGGTGAAACTTTTTAAAGAATATTGCAAATAACTCTTGTCTTCGTCTTGTTCATTTAATCTTAGTCTTGGTCGTACAAGCATCCCTAATTCTTAGTCTGGATCTGGTCTTGTTAAATGTGCAATACCAAAACAAAACAAGGCAAAATTGCAAGACCAAGCTTCTATCTGCATAAATGGTCTAAACTGTGAAAATTATACATACCCATGTAGGAAATGGCGGACTTGATAGCAAATCCAAAGCTGAACCAGTAGTGGGAAGCCAAGCGTAGGCTTATCAATATTGGTTCAAAGCTCGATTGAACATCAAATGCAAAAGCATTAACGTTTTGCCTAGTTTGATCCAATACTAGGTAGTCTGTTATGGTTTTGTCATTACTGGATAAGTTCTGTCAAGCTTCGAGTGTCAAGGCTAGGTATTCGTATAAATGTTTGGTCAAGCTATATCCAATATCGAGCAGCAAAGTATTCGCCAAGATGGAAAGCGACACAGTTGCCCAATTTTGGATTAATTTGGTTCATTATGTTTTAGCGTAATATTAGCTGTCCAATCTTGAATTCATATTTATCATCAAGTCTTGACCCAACATTGACTGAGCAATCTTGGGTTAGGTTAGGTTAGGTTCACCAAGTCTTGATTCAGCATTGATTATCCAATCGTGGACCAAGCATGCCAACCAGGCTTGGGCCGAAGTGTCAAATCAGACATTTATCATGCTTTGTCCAATATTGGTTGCCAATTTCGGACTAGAATTAAATAATGTTGGGGTTAAACTTAAATAGATGCAATTCTGTTAGCATACATTTTCAATTACTTTTTAAACAACCGCCCTGTTTTCGCACGGGACCAATACAAGGCGGGGGGGGAGGGTGGAATATTTAACTTGTCATGTCATATTATAAACTGTTAAGAATCATCCCTTCAGGAAGCTGTAGCGTATCACAGTGCGTAATCCAGCTTACTCCTCTAGTAGTCTAGTAAACAGTTTTAAAACAAATTAGAATATTGCTTGGCACAGTGTAGTAGTCTATTTCAACAAGTACCCTTTAACGTAATTTTGAAAACATTATTTTTATTAGTTTTTGTTTACGACGGTGTTTTGTTATTTATTTTGTTTAGCAGAGAATGCCAGTTTTATTTCATCTCAGAGGACAAACAACAGTAGCTACTTAATCAACGATCTAACTGGTTAATGGTTTGTTACAGCTTTTGTCCAACGCAACATGTAAAGCGCTTTGTCATTGAAATTCTGATAAGTAACGTCGTTTTTCAAAACAGTCTCGTTAGTTAAATGGTAAATCTATTAAAATCACTTAATTAATTTAAAGCCAGTTGTTATTATGGCGTTATATTTTTTTAATTAATAATATAAAAATAAAATTAACTGTGTACCTACATATTAAGCCAAATAGATAACGTACTTCTAATACATGTTTGTATATTGAGCTTTGGAACATTGTACCTTAAACATATTGATGTTTACATTCAAATNTTAGAATTTCTTAATTAACCGTTCGCGAGCGTAGAAGTGACTTCTTTTTATTGAAGGCGACTCGACCCTGCGCTATCCTCTGCTTTATATCCCTACTACTCCTTCCGTCCTGACTTATCCGACTTCCTCGATACCTAAAATCAGCCACTTCTAATTTTTCGTCTCCTATCTTTATATTCGCTCTTTCCCTATTTTTTCTTTTATTTATTTGCATACAATACTATTTTGTCAATATCGCTTCCATTTTATTTAAAACTATCTCTAACTCCTCATAAAAATAAAATTAACTGTGTACCTACATATTAAGCCAAATAGATAACGTACTTCTAATACATGTTTGTATATTGAGCTTTGGAACATTGTACCTTAAACATATTGATGTTTACATTCAAATACTGGTTCATAAAATTTACTGTATTATCTTTTTGAATCCGTGAGTTTAATTTTTCTCCTCTTCTTTTTCAGGTAATTTGCCCTTTGATAGCTTGTATGAAATAACTAGGTAAGTGACACAACACTAAGAACTAAGTAGATAAATTCAAAACAAACATTACAGATGTATTTAAATCGTTTGTGATTACTTTCAAAAGAAGAGCGTATAAAATATATGTTGTCAACTGTTCCTCGTAATGAGCAAAGCAAGATCTAGACAAAGACTATCCCAGTCTTGGTATTCATGGGCGTACCCAGGGGGTGGGGGCAGGGGAGGGCAGCTGCCTCCCCCTGGAAATCCCACAGAAAATGTATGAACTCGCTTAATCACTAATCAAAGTGTAAACAATTATAATAAAATAAAAATGCATAGTCAAATTTACTTTCATTAATATTTATTTATCCACCTATAAAGCAGGATCATTTGCGGCTGTTTGCCCTACACACTGCACTATATTATACCTAATGTTTCATATACAGAAAAAGCTCTTTATTCGCGGTGTATACGTTCCATAATTATGCCGCGAATACGAAACCGTGGATATGGAATGGTAATTAGTATGGAATCATAGGGTATACGTTCTAAGGTTCCAAAATAAAACCAATATGTATCAGAATAAAATCAATTTATTGAGAAATTAGCAATTAAAATTAATCGTTATAATCACCTTTAGACAAGGGTTTAAAAAATTTAGCCATTTTTTCTTGTTTTGAATTTTAAATTAGTGCACTCTTTTATAAAAGTCGCCTCGGCACGAGCCAGCAGTACCTAAAAGATGCCGATGCGTTGAAAAATTACACCGAATCCTTTTTTGTTTACTCTGTTTCATCTTTGATAAAAGCTGCCTCGGCACGTACCAACAGTACATAGTCAAAAGATGCCGATATATTAAGGGGATTCAGTAGTACATGCGCCGTAGAGTAAAAACATGCTTATCGGTTCTAGATATCATGCGTTTAATGTTTGGAACAGAGGTTTGAAATTTTGTAGAAAGATAGATGAAACTATGGTCTAAAGCCTGTCGAAGGCCATTTTTTTATGTTTTTAATTTCTATTGAAAATACGTATCCTACAAGAAGACTCAACTTTAAGCACTTATAAAAGCTATTAATGAGCATATTATTGAAAACTAGAAATGTATCGAGTTAGTGTAAATCTTTGTCTGTTACCATACAAAAAATTAGATATTTACCTCGCAGCTTTAATTCACAATGTTTAAAATAGAAACCCATGTTTTCCAAAAAATTCACCCTAGGTACGAACGGTCTATTGCGGTCAATCTCCTTAATAAATGATACCGACTACCTTTCTGTTTACCGATTGCATCCGCGAATTATGAAATTTTTAACCACGAATATAAGAACTGGCTTGCAATTTTTTCACCCACGAATAATGAAAACGCGAATAAGGAAACCGTGAATAAGGAACTTTTACTGTAGGTGCCTTTGTGTAGTGTGTATGACAAAACAGCCGCGAACGATCTGTCCTAGGGCAGAAGCTGGGTACGTCTATGTTGGTACTGGTCTTGGTCTTGCTTGTTCGACCTTGATCTTAGCCTCCCATAAATACTAATATCTAACTTTATCTTGCGTGTTAAGTCTTGATTAATCTGATACTTACGTTTTTTTTTTAATAATCATCATCATCATAAGGTCGTCAGTCCTAAGACTGGTTGGACACGCACCTCCACTCTTTCTTATCCTCAGCTAATCTTCGCATTCCCTTAAAACCAGAACACTCCACATCCTTAACTATTTGTGAATAGTCATCTAATATACACCTACCTCTACACCTCCTAACTCCCGTTTCTGCTTCTAATATGTTTCTGACTAGACTTCATGCCTGAGAAGGTATCCTACCAACCTATCTCGCCTATTTCTTAGTGACTTCTATAGAGTTCTCTGTTCTCCTATTCTTTCTAATATCTCTTCATTTCTAACCTTCTCTATCCACGGTATCCTTATCATTCGCCTGAAACACCACATTTCCAACGGTTCTAACCTTTTCTTTTCCGTCACCGTCCATGTTTCGAATCCATACATCGCCGCGCTTCAAACATATACCATTAACAATTTTTTTCGAATTTCTAAATTAACCGTTCGCGAGCGTAGAAGTGACTTCTTTTTATTGAAGGCGACTCGACCCTGCGCTATCCTCTGCTTTATATCCCTACTACTCCTTCCGTCCTGACTTATCCGACTTCCTCGATACCTAAAATCAGCCACTTCTAATTTTTCGTCTCCTATCTTTATATTCGCTCTTTCCCTATTTTTTCTTTTATTTATTTGCATACAATACTATTTTGTCAATATCGCTTCCATTTTATTTAAAACTATCTCTAACTCCTCCTTGCTAGATGCTAATAATACTGCTATATCATCTGTAAATCAAACCATACTAATCTTTCGCCCTGTCAAAATTTTCTGTATGCCTGTTATGTTTCATTGGTTGTTTGAACGGATTTTAATATTCGCAGTTTTGGTATGAAATCGTCACGTGTTTTTTTAGGACGTTCAAAATCAGTAAAACAGGAAACGTTTTGGGCGTTGTGTGTTATTCCAAGTCACAGGCGCCTTCGACGGAAATTATTTTTCACAGTTTATCTTGTGATAATGTTTGCATCTTTCATTAGCGCCGTGATTTTTTTTATGCGCAAATGTTTGTTGACAAAGCACTCGTTTCATTAAGAGAAGTATAAAGGATGTTTATTCTTTAGATATGGCATTAAACATATTTGTTGCTTTCATTTCTCGTTTCGTTAAAATTTTAATGATAATTGTGTTAAAATATCCCAAGCTTTTTTTTAAGGCGAAAACATCTGTGTTATTATAAAATAAAACAACGTTGGTGGACATTTCACATTAAATAAAACGATTTAGGTTACATTCGTGTTAGCTTTTATTTTAAGTAATATTAATTAATTAAAAGTCTGGTTTTCTGCACTTCTTGCTATGCAAATCTTCATTTTGAATGCCCAAAAGCCACCGATCTTCATACTTTCTCGCTCTATCCACTGATGGAATCAATAATATACAGGGACACCCTGCACATACTCCTATTAAAAAAATATGTTGAAATGTTCGAAGGTTACGTCAATATCATATCAATGGTTAATTCATTATAATAACAAAGGCTTTCACGGCCGGAATCCATAGTAGAATGACGATTCGGGCTAAAGAGTCGTGGTCTAAGTGAACTATTGTGTCCAGACGTTTCGTCAGCTACTGCGGCTGACATCCTCAGTGGTAGTGCTGCGTTGACAACGCGAGAGTAGATTATATCTCGAAGTCTCTACAGTCGCTGTCGATACTTCGAGATATACGATCGACGTTTACTAATGGACATGCCTTAGCGGTCAGACTTGTGGTGCAACAAAAGAGAGAGATGGAACGAAGTTTCGGACAATATCCATCTCTCTCACGATTCTGCGTAAGCGTACCATGAAAGAGATAGCACTAGTCCGAAACCATACGCCATCTCCCTCACTTTTCGAGCCAAGAAATTATTACAACGATATACAGCTGAGGCACGTCCATTAATATATGTCTATGAGATATACCACTGAGGATGTCAGCCGCAGTAGCTGACGAAACATCTGGACACAATAAATCACTTCCACGGCCCTATAGCCCGAATCTTCATTCTACTATAGGTTAATTAATTGTCCCTTTAAAAGCATAGATAAAACCATTATTTAAGAATATTTTATCTAAAATAATGAGATACAATCAAGATATTTCATAGCCTTGAGATGAAAATTCCCACCTTATATTATCAATGATCACTGTATAAACTACTAAATAATCATTATATATTATTCTAATCTTCAATTTGTTGTGTCTGTCTATGATTACAAATGTTTTAAACATAGAGGTTTTGGTTAGGTTGTAGCGAAAGAAGATTTCTTAATTGGCATAAGTAAAGTACTACGTTCCAAAATGGCTTAAGTTAAGTTTTTGTATAAACAACGATTCCGATTCGAACCAATTTTATAAATTGCGTGAAACTAATATCACGAAAATAAAATTAAAAACTTTTGCGATAGTAATGTAAGAAAAACTTAAGAGACTGATTGTCTGTATTCAGAGAAACACTTAAAACTTTTGCTTAATGCTGTTGGATTGTCAATTCTTTCGACCTACACTTTTAGCCGGAGGGAAGGATGGAAGTCCCCCTTTCCGTTCAGTTTGCTCACAGAAATTGTGGGAATAGGTGTGTAGTACTTGGGGAGAGACAGATGAGACGAAAGAAGTGAAAATAGAAGAGAAATGAAAAATTATATGTGCAATATAACTCCTCCAGTACATATTTTTCTAAACAAGTTATGCAAAGAATCCACAGAAAAACTTGGACCAGAACAGACGGACCCGGAATCAAATTAGTACTTCTACAGTCTTTCTGAAATAAGTAACAAGTTTTCAGGAGGTGATGGGGTGTCATAAAACAAGAAAATGAACAAAATGTTTGGTGGTCCGAAAGTGATGAAACAGCGCGTGTATCAAACGCCAGTGCAGAGCGCTAATGATTTACACTACCGTGTATGATCGCTGCAAATGAAATATGCCAAATGTCGGATATGTGTGTATGTGTGTTTACTGGTGTAATTTATTCTTTCTAATGGGAAGATATGGCTATTGACGAAGCACCAATAAAAGAGAGGTACCGCTTTTTGACAATGGTACTTTAGAAATTTAATAAAATTACAACTACCTATCCAAAATATATTCATCTACTTATTAATGTTTATATAACGTTAATTTTTTCTCCCTGTTGTGTTCTTAATACCATGTCTAGGTGATCTTTAAATAGTAGATTCAATGTAATAAAATTTATCGCAATGAGCGTGCGTAGTAGCGTAGTAGAAAGCTGTTGATATTTACTTTACACAACACAACCGTCACTGTTTACATTCTTCGCCAATGTAGCTGCTTTGGATTGCAACTCCTTCTGGTTTTCGTCTAAATTTTTTTGTCCTTTAATCACGCTGCTTTACTCACCTTGCAATTCTATGTTGCATCTACTTAACACCTTCCAAAGCTTTCTACTTATTTTAGTTGAGGTTAATGATAAATAGGTTAAGCAAAGGTGAATTGCTAATATCTATATAACTCTTTCCGTAACTTTTTTATTTGATGACTGTTTTGCATTAGTATGTATAATGGAAAATCTAAATGCTTTTTAAACATATTTCTTCTAAATTAATGGTTTTGGTAATCCTCGGCCGTAAAGTAAACAAAATTTGTATGGATTTATGCACAATGTTGATCTCCAACTCATGTGAATTTAACATACCGAATTAGGTAAGGTAACAATAA